TCCGCTAGCTTCCTGCTAACTTCTAACTCTGTTAAATGTAATAAATTTTGTTTTCATGGATGCCTGGAAGTTAAACTTCATAGTTACACCTGGTAAAGCAGCAATTCTGATCGTTTTATTAAAGATGAAAGAATTTAAACAGTTTTTAAACTCTAAGTGATGCTGCAGTGTTCTTTTGACCTGAACGATACGGAGTTTAGGACCCAGATTACTCCCAGATTTAAGAGCATCTTAGTCCGACAAATACGACAATAACGACGGCCCGCTTGCATGTTCTGCAAAAAATGTGCTTTGTCGTGTATCTGACGGACAAACACCAAACCAGTTCCACATCACTGAAGTTGCACCATTTTTACAAACCAAATCTGGTTCATCTGTTTCACTCAAATATCGGCCATGTGCGTATGAAAACAAAGGCACTGCGCATGCGCGTTTTACTCATATTCTATCGCGATATTTCATTTTCCTAGCGTTGCCTAACATTATACCGGTATTACCGTGAACGGTATAATATGGCCCAGCCCTACTCTACACCATATTTGGGTCAGTTTCTTTTTTAAAATCTTTTGGTTTTTTTCAACATTGGGTTGTGCAGCATGACCTTATCCCCCAGAGTGAGAATGTCAGTGTTCTCTTCTAATGTCATGTTCTAAGGTGTCTGAGGGAGAACCTTCAGAGGAAATGATGTATGGCATCATCTCATGCCTATAAAAAACACTGTACAAAAACTATTTTTTGTTCATCGCTTACCAAATTTGCCATGCTGAAACTTTATAGATAAGAATACAGATAAGAGAGAAGCAAATAGGGAGAGATAATATATTGGGTTATTCTCACAAAGCCTCAAACATAAGATTGGCCAAATCAGCAAAAGCTTGTAATCTGTTCTTTAAACTTTTTGATCTTCTATATTCCTATTATTATAATGTAATATTTATTTTACTGGATGCAGTCTTGCACCATCTAGAGATTTTTCTTTAGCTGCACTTGTGGTATCAATTTGAAGCTCCTACATTGCATTCTCCAGTTATCATATTCAGAATTTAGGTGTCTACGCCACTGATGGGGTGATGACACCATCGGTCTTTTATGACGGAGGGGTAAAAAGTTGGCACTATTGAAAATACTGCTTGCCATGGCTATCTGTGGTAAGCAGACAAAATGCATGATATGTATCAATTCTCTCCAAAACAAATAAACCTTCTGAAAATATTGCAGACAAGTTCTGGATACACTACTATAAACTTAAACGCAAAAAGAAAAACACAAAAAAACTTCAAAAACTGAAAATGATTTGGATAATAAAATGAGAGAGTCAAAAATCAAAAGGAGGATCAACCAGTGAGAAGAGTGAAAATGTAATAAAACATGGCCTTTGTATCATCTGCAAACTTAAAGTCTAAGTTGCTGGTGTCTCAGGATCAGACAAAGGCTACGTTCACACTGCAGGCAAAAGCGCAACAAATCCGCCATTTTTGATCCTATGCGACCCATTTCCGGTCATGGTATGACAGTTTGAACAGCACAAATCCAATCTGGGTCCGACCTGGGTCACTTTCGTATGTGGTACTGAATCCAATACATATCTGATGTTTCAGAAAGCGACTGCTGTTTGAACGGTTATGTCGCATTAAATCCGTCTTTTACGTCACTGACACAAGACAGAAGCCAATTATCAGCGCCGGAGAAGACAAATGAGAAAGCATGGCGGCGGAAACTGGAGACAGAGCAAGTCAATGGACAGAAACTGAGGTTTTGGACTTGCTTAACATATGGGGAAAAAAAAAACATATGGGGAGACAATTCTATTCAAGCTAAATGACTCCGTGTCCATATAAACCTCTGAGGTAGCAGCCACTGCTCCAAACAAGGCTATTGTTAAAGCACGGACTTTTTTCTCAGTGTCCTTCTTTCTCTAATTAATTTGTCAAAATTCTGTCGGTTACAACACCTACTAGCTCTGTAGCCACCATTTTTACTTCTGTAAACAGAGCGGGTTGTGTGTGACGTCTTCTTTTCCTCATGTGGGCCGCTTTGAGGGCCGTGAACCGTTCACACTAGTGCGCGCTTGCTGTCACATTTTATTTGTAGTGTGAACAACCAGACAAAAAAAAAATCGGATTTGATCAAAAAACCGAAATAGACCTTTTAGTGGGTCTTAGATGAGTTTTGAACCACTAATTTGTATTCTCTCTGCAGAATGCTGGTTTTACTGAAGTGAACTCCCTGCATCTTTGTATACACAGTAAATTATAGTACATTGTTAGTATATCACCCTGTGATTGGGACATCACAACAATTTGCCTCATTAAGTAAATCTGACTATCATATAAAAACTTAAATTCCTCTTATTTTCCTTTATTAATCTGCCGTGTAACTCATTTCCTTCTCTATGTTCAGCATTTCTATGACTGCAGAAAAATTTCCTCCATCCATCAGTAATCCCAGCTAACCTGAAGTAAAAATTATGGTTATCCTAAAGACTGCAATACAACAAAGTACATTACTAATGAAAACTGATTATACAGAAACTTAAGCACATTTTTATCAGTTAATATAGATCATAATCTCGAGGTTATATAGCATTCTGTCCTTCATCCAGCAACTACTCAAGAAGTAGTTTTTATTCCAGCATTACAATGTTCAGAGTTCAGTGGGTCATTTAACAAAAAACAAACAAACACAAAGAAAACCTCTAAATTTATCACCAGGTTATGGCATGAAATGGAAAATGCAGCTATAACGAACATGATCGACTCCACTTTGTTTATTATGCTGATGGTTTTAATGAATGTTTGGATAGCCAGTTAAAAGAAAGAATTCTTACTTTGAGTTATCGATTATGTCACTAGTTAGCGAACAAACTAATGTAAGTCTATTAGCCACAACCAACCAACCGCATGACGTCATGTTGTGGCATTGTACTGACAGAAGATGGCGCTATGCATGTTTTTCAAACTTTAACTTCGGGCACTGATTTCTTAAATCCAGCGTCACAGACACTGTTCATTTTTGAGAGCAGAGCTTAAGGGTGTATATTAGCCTGTATGTGTGGAGCATTTCATGTTCCCTTTAAGGTTGGTAGTTCGATCTCTAGCTGCTCCAGTCTCCATTCTGCATGCCAAATATCCTTGGGCAATGTTTGAATGCATGAATGTTAGCTAGAAAGCACTTAGGTGTAGATAAAATTGCTTGTATGAATGTTTGTAAATGGGTGAATGAAGTGTGTTGTTTAAAGTGCTTTGAGTCTAGAGTAGAAAAGGTGCCACTGAGGTGCCATTTCAGGACATAACACAATTCACTGATCATATTAACTCGGTTGAAAAAGACATCAACCCATTTCCTTGCAGATGTATTCAGGTCTAGTGTGTGTCAGCAGCAATGAACTAAGAAAAAGACATGGGTCTACTTACAGCTCCAAAAGCGGCAGATGTTCAAAGATCTGCCAGGACAACGTGGTCAACATGGGGTTCTTGGACAGGTTTCTAAGAAAGAGACCAAGAAAGTAACAGAGAGTGTCAGAAACCTCACTTCAACGTGACAATAAAAGCTCATGGATGTTAGGTTTTCTACATGATGTTTTGTAATGAGTGCAAAACACGAGGGAAAAGTGAAATTCATAAAAGAGCAGAATTCCACTTAGGGTGTTTAGTCAGTTTAAATCGACTCTGGTTCATTTTCCCACTTAATGAAAGTTGTTTGAGCAGATGTGAACAGTAATAGTGTTTCTGACCACTGGTATACCACAACTGTACCCTTTCAACAGCTACCAAAAGTTAAAGGACCTAGCTTGTATGAGCCTTATGGGATATTTATATAAAGATCCTCCAGCCTCAAACGGTATTACCCTTCAAGGACCTGCAGTTCAGAAAAGCGCCCCTCCGACAGCCAAACCCATCTGTTCTCTGATTCGATAGTTAAATTTGTGATTGACATGACATTGACCAATCAGCTGAAAGGAAGAAAAATCGGGTCAAAATCCATACTTGTAAGTTGAAACCTGAGTGCAGCGTTTCACACGTATTTTTTGGCTATGTCCACACACAAATCTTTTTTACGCACACACAAATTCTTTTTACACATATAAATCCTGATTTACAAGTACAAAATATTTATGACCACAATTTGAGCCCATAGCACTCCCTCACAACTATAGGAATAAGCCCAGGTTTCTCTTCAGTGCTGCAAAGAGGCTGACAAGGAATCAGAGCTCTGTTTAGCCGAGTATTCCTTTAACTTGAAATAGTGAGGACTTCACAAATTTCTTCATAATTAACCATTATAGAGAAAAGAACCAACCATTCCTCAGATACATCATTAGGTACAACCACTTTTAAAATAAAGAACTGCTGATATTTACTTGTATTGTCTTTCCTCAGTGATTTTTCAGTCACTTCAATTACTTCCTCCAAACCATTAACATATCTACTTGACTCCAGATCCTACCATTAATTCATTCTTTAATCTTTATAGAGATCTGTATCACATGCAATAATTACACCACTTTTTTAAAAAGCAAAGGCTTTTTAAATTAACTGATCATCTACAAAAGAGCAGTTTATTCAAAGAGTTACAGTCAGCATTTAGAGTTTACCACAGCTGCATGTTCTCCTTAAATTGCTGGCTGTCTTCTTATGGCTTCTTATCTTCTTATGGCTCAGTGTGTGAAGAGGACTCTCCATGTACGTGAACAAACCAAGGATAATTATGGAGTTCCACAGGGTTCTGTGCTAGGACTAGTTCTGTTTACATTATACATGCTTCCCTTACGCAGTATCATTAAAAGTTATAGCATAACATTTTCACTGCTGTGCAGATGACACATAACTTTATCTATCCATGAAGCCAGATAACACACACCAATTAGTTAAACTGCAGGAATGTCTTCTTGAAGATATAAAGACACAGATGACCTCTAATTTTCTGCTTCTGGCTGTCCCTCCCCAACCCTGGTTCTACAGAAGGTTTTTTCTTGTTAAAATGTACTTTTTCCTTCCCTCTGTCACCAAAGCACTTGCTCAAAGGGGGTATATGACTTTTGGGGTTCTGTCTGTTTTCTTTGTATTATTGTAGTGTCTTAACCTTCAAATATAAAGTGCCTTGAAGCAACTGTTGTTGTGACTCGCTGCTATATAAATAAAATTGAACTCAGTTGAAAATAAATACTAGTGAGCTAATTGATTACTTGTCCTGACCTCCTTTGATAGAACACAGAACAGGTATTTAAATAATCACCCTGAAGTGGTTTGAATCTCATTTATCTGCTTCAATAAGAAAACTGTGAAAACAACAACACACACACACACACACACACACACACACACACACACACACACACACACACACACACACATCAGATGTTCTGCAGTATGTTCTTGCTTTCATCTGAACTTTTGTATAGTGATAGGATTAAAGCAGCTGATAGTGCTTTGTCCTTTTCAGCTGAGAAATTAGAGGGTGGAAGAAAACACAGAGAAGGAAAAAAACAGAAAGAGGAACAAAAAAATTGGAGGAGAGGAAGAAAAATTTATTAGAAAAGAGAAGCTGACGGTTTGAAGAAGAGACTATCACTCACACCACAAGCAGTGATGAAGAATATGTAGCCCACTGAATGCACACTACTGGTCAAAAGTTTTAGAACACCCCAATTTTTCCAGTTTTTAATTGAAATTTAGACAGTTTAAGATTTCATTACACTCTGAAATGAAAGCATAGTACAAATAAGCAATTTGAGTTAAAAAGAGAAATTGTGGAATAAATTTATAGACCAAAATGTATTCTAAACCACCTTTGGCAGATTTAACAGCTGCACACACCCGTGGAATTTTTTCTACAATAGAAATAAATATTTAATATTAACATTAATAAAACTATTAACAATAACAAATATTATTAAGAAATTTCTTCCCATATCTTTTGCAGAAATTCCCATAATTGTGTGGCACTTGTAGGTTGCTTTGCTTTCACTCTTCTGTCCAGTTCATCCCAAACCAGCTTGATGGGGTTTAAGTCTGGAGACTGTGCTGGTCACTCCATGTTTTCAACTGACTGTCTTGTTCTTTTTTTTCCTAAGGTAGTTCTGGCATAGACTTATGTTTTGGGTCATTATCTTGCTGTAGGATGACCCCTGATCAATTAGGTGCATATCAGAGGGTATTGCATGGCGCTGCAGAATGCTGTGGTAGCTGTTTTGGTTCAGTGATCCTCTCACTCTGTACAAGTCAACGACCCTGGATCCAGCAAAACAGCCCCAGACCGTCACACTTCCTCCTCCATGTTGGACAGTTGATGCCACACACTGTGGAACCATCCTTTCGCCTACTCTACGGCGTACAAAGATCCTGCGTGATGAACCAAAGATTTCAGATTTTGATTCATCAGTCCGTAATACCTTCTTCCAGACTTGAGTAGTCCAATGATGGTGTTTAATGGCCCAGCAAAGCCTCTTTGTCTTATTCTGACATCTTAGCAATGGCTTTCTTGCTGCAACTCATCCTGTCAAACCTGCAGCTCAAAGTCTTCTCTTGACAGTTGACAATGAAACTTGCTCACTACGACCTCTATTAAGCTGTGCTTGAAGCTGTTGTGCTTTGAGCCACCCGTTAACTCTCAAAAACTCACCCTCTGATTCAGTTTCTTTTCCTTTTTATGGTGAAGGAAACTGGAATCACTGACACCTTGACTTTCTTTGCAATTTCTCTGTAGGAAAGACCTGCATTTATAAGTGTTATGATGGTCTGTCTCCCTTTCATTGTTAATTGCCTTCTTCTTGTCATTTTTGTAGCAACACAGAGAACTATTGTTCTGCAGTACAATAATGTTCAATTGATACTAATGAGGGTATGCTACAACAGTGTGTTCCAACATAAACCCTTATGCAGACAGAGGGGGTGGTAAGTAATCCTGAAAAGTTGGAACACCTGTAGGAATTAGTAGCACCAGCTTTCAAGACTTGATAAACCTTCATAGCTGCAGAACAGCTTTACATTGTTGACCCATTTTGTGTTCATTGAAAAAAGCCTTTTTGTATAATTCTGAAATGTAGATTATTTTTCAGTTTTAGGTAACCTTAGTTTATTTCTTTTTCAATCTCTGGCAGTTCACCACTTACATTTGTACCATTTCAAGCTATCCATTGGACTTGAATTGCAACAAAATGCTGGAAAACTTGGGGTGCTCTAAAACGTTTGACCAGTAGTGTATTTACTGCAAACCTGCTGTTGAGGACTGCGCTTGAATATTCCCAGTACATTTATCTGACAGCTGTAGCTTTTAGCTAATTCTAATCACCAAAAGAAATATAATTCTCCATCTTCTCCAGCAAAGTTCTAGGTGCAGCAAAACTTTTCACTTCAGATTCTGTGAGAGTAAATGAAGTGCACATGACAATTAGCTTTCTTAAATGGGATTCAGTGTTAAGTGTCATCAACTTGTCCATTTCCTGCTACAACAAACCAAAATGCCCACTGCTCACAAACAATAAACTCTGTTTTTCTCTTCTGTGGTCACAAATTCTTTGATTTTGTTCTATTTGTTCCTCTCCTCTTCTTTCAGCTGGTGATGTAAGAGTGTTTATTATTCATAGCTGCTGAGATCCAATACCTCATCAGTATTCCACTCAGGATTGGGAGAGAAAAAGCATGCAAGAAATATAAAATACATATTTTTTTATGTAATTTCTGATGAGTCTTTAATGCTGTTTGACAAACAGCATTAAAGAGTCTAAATGTGATCTTTGGATGTATTTTGCTGTACCCAGTGATTCACAATAGAGGTAAAAATAGAAAATATAGTGATGATAAAAATCCAGGTCTCATTTTATAAAACCCTCCTTATTCCTGTCAGCCTTTCTCTATACAAACCAGTAATCACAGATCTTACTGGCAGCATTTCCTGCTTTAAAATAATTTAGAGCATAAAAATTACATGAAATTAGAAAAAAAAAAGTATTTCACTCACAGTACTGCACACACTACCACAGTGTCATAATCACTACAACTGATCATATAAGACTAATATTCTACCATTCTCAAATTTATGTTTGTACTAACGACCATTGTGTTGCATGTCATGCACTCTGAGGATGGTGGGACTACAGATTTATCTTCAACCTTCTTAACACACACACACACACATGCACACACACTAATTTATATTGCTCAAGAACATAAGTGTGTGATGGTAAAGTGCAAACTGCATCCAGCTAGCCAAGAACCCAGACTGATGTTAAAGCCGAGTGAATGCTGACCTCAGCCCAGCAGTCTGACCCTGACCTTTAACAAATAACAAGGGGTTAAACAGTCTGTCTTTCTAACTGTTCATGTTTCTAAAGTAGAATCGCTGTGGCTGTCAGCTTTGTGTTCATGCGTAAATACTAAGAGAAAGAGTATGTGTCTTCATAGTATAGGGATTTGTGTTGGTATGTGGGACGATAGTCTGTAGGTTTATATTATAAAATGGTAAATATGTTTCAGGTCATTTTACA